TTGTCCTATTTGCATGTTGCTAAAGTTGTCACCAGTTTGTTTCTTTACCTCACCGATGGCCAAAATATTTAAGAAATTTACATCTGTATTTTTTTGGATAAATACAAAATCTGGCTTCCGAGTTCCTAGTACCGGCGATTGACGTGTATCTTCAACAGTAAGCTTAAGTTTGTTTTTTATAACGGAATAATTTTCTAGTACACTGCATTCACTCATAAAGTAATCTTGTATTTCTTTTTCACTTGCGTCTCTATCAGGTATTTCTGAAAACTTTCCAGGTGAACGTGATTTAATACTTTCGGTTATGTTGAGCGGGAAGGTAATTTCTATTCCATCCTTTAGCACATTTTCACCCAATTCAGTTTCCGTTACAAAACCTAAACACGAAACGTTAATGGCGTTTGTAGAAATGATCGATAGATCAGATGAAAAGCATACCTGATGAAAGACTCGATGCTTTCACAAGGTGGGATAACTTCTTAAAACCACTTTCTATTCTACGACTAAGAGCCTCAAGCTGTTTTTGTAGAGAAGCTATATCACGATTACCTACAAAATTTTTTAATATTACTGGTTAAGAAATGAGAAAGCAGAATATTTGATATTATCGTAGAAGAAAGATCAAGCCAGAATGTATTAACGAATTTATTACGACACACTTACCAGCAGCGGGTTGCTCTATAATAACGTGAATGTGTTTTTTGGGCAGGAAAGAAAAAGCACAAGATTAAATAAGTATTCAGTATTATTGGCGAATATGACACGCACGGTGTGGGCAAAAGAAGAAAAAAAAAACACTATATCATGTTGACTAAACTTGTTATAAATGAAAAAGTAAACACCGGCTTAGTATAAATAGAAGAATTTTTATATTACTATGTCTACTCTATCCTACGTACACACGACTCTATGTCCCCAACGCCCGAGTCACAAAGTCGTTACCTGGCTGAGTGTTAGCGCCAACCAAGGCACTTAGCAGCAACGTCTTCTTTAGCTCCATCCAGTAAATCTCCTCTTGCGCCAACTCGTCCTTCTCCCCTTGGTACTCTTCCTCTGTGGCCCCACGCCTCAAAGCCTCTAACCTATCTAACTTCGCGTTAGCCTTCTCAAATTCCTGTTTTAACTGAGCGGCGTCCATGTCTGACGAAGTGGAAGTGTTTGTAGCTAGATGTGTTGCGCGCGATATGACCTAATATACTAACGCTGATATCAGTGGCTTATCAATGGCGTATTATTAGGAACTTTCTAGACCGTAACTATATATTATTTCTGTAAAGGAGGACAATTGCCTATATTAATTGCTTAACACAATAGCGCCCATACAATATAGCTTATGTACCATAATTATAGAATGCGAGGAACACTAGCATGATATTTGTCGCTAGTGATACAAGTGTATTACACAATGGCTCTCTTTATAGTGGATAAAGGTTTATAATGAATGCTATCCGATACAGTGTATTTACTAATAAATTTTCAAAAACTCTCGATATAGTGTATTTTTGAGTATTTTTTACTAGTAGATTTTTTTGATACACTATAAAGAGAGTCACTGTGTATATCACTTTTTCTTAAAACTAACGCTAAACCTTACAGAATAAGTTGAACAAGCAATAGATCAAAACGACAAAGATGAGATTGAGTTAAAAAGCTACATCTACATAATCAATCGAATTTTTCAGCCTAACTACAGTGGCATTACAAGCTCGACCAATGGTGTCATATCTTAATTTGCACATTGTGCGAATTAAGATCAGATAATTGTCTTGAGATATTTTCAGTACTGTCAATAAAGTCGTACAAAATCGAAGGTCATGGAACTTCTGCATGCAGATGTAATCGTATCAGATCACACTGCAACTACAATACTAGTCAGTCTGATTGACATACTATTATCAAGGTAAACAACCCTTTAAATCACTAACTAGACCAAAATCACGTCCTCTACACCTCATCTATTTCTGAACTTGGCAAGCTGAAATCTGATAAGTATGCATCATTATGATAAACGGCATCCCACGTCTTGTCATCAAATTGTCTTATCAATAAGGTTCATAATATCAATATAAAGTCCCTGCGCATCTGGACGCTTAATATGGTTCTGGCTGAATCGGGCAGTGGCCATCAAAAAAATATATAATAATACCAGAAGCTGATTTCTGAGTAAACGCCTTGAATGGTTGACTCACGTGAATGTACTGGCGTATTAATATTAAGGACAATATTATTTTTTTTCTGTATCAGACTTATTATTATGTTCCTGTGAACCTTGTGCATAACAATCATGTGCTCTTTTGTTTCTTGTGTGACTCCGTAAATTTTAAGGAAACGATAACCCTTTTTATGCACTGAACTATTAAATAAAAATAAATATAGCATCAAATTAAATATACTACTTACCATAACTCCGGCATGTTGGAGTACAACAGTTTGTATATACTCTTTATGTTTGGCAGTATAACCGATCTGATCAAGTCGCTATACTAATACGGCATATATTTTACACGTTTATTATTTTGCATAAATCTATCCAATATTGCATGTGGTAGAACACTAGTATTTTCGAGTAGATGTGTTTCCAATATTATCCGGTGTTAGTATCCTGAGTTAGCTATTTGAGTAAATAAAACACAGTCGTTACAACAATAATCGACGCGATACAATTATCGCCTACATAAAATAATTACCGATAAAAATCAAATGACTTCGTCAACAATCTTTTTGAGTGTCACTCATGTCAACTCATTCGTTATCACGTGCTATGTTTGCATCCATGGCGTAATGATGTCGTCTCCTGTGTGTCAACAGAGAATTTCTATCCATTGTATATATGTTAAATATATTAATCCCCGGTCCATGAAGAGAGTCATCGCAATGTTAAAATAATTAGATGCGTAATAATAAATCAGGAGGCAAGTAAGCCCACCAGTATATAATTAAAGGTATGCATGAAGTATGTATACTATGCCGTATTATGTTTAGTGTTAGCTGCTGCAAAAAATAAAATAGCTTGTGGTCGAACATTTAAACTGGCGTGTATCATATACATGATGCCTTAATGATACACAACGAACTAATATATTTATGACAACATTCTGGGAAGCATAACCCAACGACTAGAACCGCTTAGCGTATATCCATTCTATTATGTCTTTCTTAGTTCAGTACTAAAGATATTATTAATATGTGCAAAGAAGACAAGAGAGTATCGTGGAGTGAAATTCACCTTGTCGTCTGAGGTAAATTTCCTCACACATAGTAATCCACGCAATTGTGATATACAGGGTTGCAAAAAAAATTCCCTTGTCATTTGTGTGTGTGTAATTTTTTCCATTTATGCACAATTAATTGTGTGTTGAAACTGTTATCTTTCATTTTGTTTACACTTTGGCGTTGCTTGTCAACCTTTTCATAATGACTTCAAAGCATACTAGTCAGGCTGCCAAGCATTTCTTGAAAATTATATACTAATTTGCTAATAGTTTAGATTTTAAACCTTGTTAAATCTTTGGGCCATTGTTAAAAGACATGTGAGAAAAACATACCCAAAAATCTAGATTTATTAGAATATTTTAGAAAAAATGGAGTTCTATTCCAGAAACTCTCTCTAATTAGTTTGGTAGAATCAATAAAGAGACCGTATGAGCCAGTGCTAGAAATAATGGCGACCAAATTTCCCAATAATAATGGATACATAAAAACTACTTGTTTCAAGGTTTCAAATGATATATCAATATATCATGCGACATTTGAAATACTGGTTGTGTAGAAATGAGCAAGTTAATTTGTCCAATGTTTTTTTGCAAACCCCTATAAATATTTCTATTATGGGTTTTAATTCTTCAACCGTAAGTTTGTATGAATTGTTTGAGGGTTACTTATAACAACGCCTCCCCATCGAGGTATAAGAAATGCATTATTATCGATAGGATGATCTAGCACGTGGTCTTCTTAATCGTCGAGCAATCGTTATAGCCACCTTTGGAATTGTAAATATGTAAAGGCTTGGATTTGCTTCTGGTATATACAAAATTAGGTTAAAAGTTGGATATGAAGACACGGCAGATGCTATTATATTTCGATAAGCAGTATCGGAAGCAGATATTATTAAATTAAGCTCATTCACGTAATTTCAGTAATTTATTAAGCAAAAGTCATCTACCGGAGCAACAAGTTCTCATTCCATTACATAAACACTATGGGCTCACCTAAATTCCATTCTGCAGAATTAACAAAATGTAGTAACATTTCCGGTCTCAAATAATAATAACCCTCATTCTCATTTTTCTCTGGAGTAACAGTCAGTTGAGCATAATACTGCACTTGCGAATCAACCGTAACCTCTGAGAGAATTTTCAATTCATCCAAGAACGGCTTTAAATACATGTTCACGGCTTCTTCAATGTTCCAACCGACAAGCAATGTTGATGGGCATGCATTCATTAGACTGAATGTTATTTGATAACGGCGGAGAGTACTTCATCGCGCGCATGTTTCAATATTAGGCTTTTCTTCGGGCGACGGAGGTTTGAAGAGATGCTATTATATTTCGATAATCAGTATCGGAAGCAGATAGATCTGCCTTTTTGTAATCTTTCCAGATGTCATCAATATCACGATCAATCACGTCTATTCGAAATGTCTTTTCCTCTTCTTTCTTGTAAACATCCGCTTTTGCGCCTATGGTCGATTTCGTTATTCCTTACTTATGGATTGACAGATCATGATCCCGTAATGATTTGCTTTCAAGTTCCGGTGTTACAACTGGTATTAGGCGTTGGCCTGCATCACTTGTTCCAGCATTAGGCTAGACACTGCATCCTTAGAAAAAACTCGTATAGAAGTGTAAATGCTGTGGCATTGGCTTATGTCTTTGCGGATAATATGCGATATATTGTGCTCGAGTCTGTTTGGTCGGATAAAGTTGAATGTCCTTCGAGTACTTATGATCCGTCTGTTTCGAATAAACGTTAACATGAAATTATCGGAAGTCAAGACTCTCCTTGATCATACAATGCAAATCGATGTCCAATTGCGGCGGTATAGTCTTCACCGAACTCGGTGGTCTTTTAGGTTTCTCCTTCTTGGCGGGGGGTGTTGGTCTATTCTTCAGTTATGAATTTTCCAGCGCTGCCGGATGCTGCTTCGTCAACGGTTGGGAGATGTTGAATTAACATTATTCGTTATTAGCCTTTACGATATTGCCTTGGCGCTCGTATCACTTGTTGCGTAGTATACATTACCGTATCCTCTCGTGAATAAGCACCCCCTTTCGATCATATGAAAATGATCAGCAACCATCACGTAAATAATAAACTTTAGGGGGTTATCTAACAGTAATCGCAGTAACCATAAATGCATTGTATTTGTGTACGTGCTGGCGTGTTGTTTGCTGACAATAGCATAAGTCATGTGTGTGTGCATAGTCAAATAAGCAATATAAGTCATCGCGATCAAGTATTTTGTAAGAACTCTTGGATTATAGTAATAAAACGTGTTGTTTGTCGCTTTGTCATAAAATTAATAATAAAAGTCGTCGCGTAATGCAATGATAAATACACGATTAGCTGCCGTCAGTTGTGAATGTTGCTAATATTGCAAAAGTTCGATTATATCACTTAACAAATTATTCAAAATTAACCTCATTATCTTTTCAATAAAAATTTTATTATCACGTGTTATTATGTAATAAACTGTTTGCGAGGGGAGGGTTATGTGGCTAATAGTGGTAATCAGGGGGTGCTTATTCACGATAGGTGCTTATTCACGAGAGGATACGGTAGTCTTTTTTTAAGAAAAGGTCGTTATTTGAATGAACGTTTTCAAGCCATACGGGGACTTGTTCTGCTGTTGCTCGATTTCATCTGCACTCAAATATAAGCAGCGTCTATCGTACCGGACACTCTTCTTTCCGAGATTGTAAGTGAACTTGTTGAAGTCTCTTGAGTACAGAAACATTCATAAACTTACACTGAGCAATCTATTTATGTGCATTATGTATATGTCAATATATTTGAAAGATGAAAGTGATTTGAGAGATGAAAGTGGTTTGAGAAGAAAATCATTCGTTTAAATATGAGTTAGCCACTTTCACCCAACAATACAGTCACCCTTCCGATTGTAGTCACTGGCATATGACATTTATTACACAGCAGTCACGTATTCAGCTATTTCTAATACAGTAATTAATATATTGGATTATCAGGAATTTACCTGCCAAGTCGCACAACCCGACACGTCGTACAGTCCATAATATTTCTATTTATGGAGGAGAAGCCATCTGAGTGTCCAATGAAAGGATGATATTTGAGCTTGCACGACCTGGCAGGTAAATTCCCGATTATATATATTGGGCCTGCTGTTCACTATTCACATTTATCGTTGCGGCATGACCTCCTGAAGACCTGTGATTTGTATTACACGAAGCGAAGGGCTTCTATTGCTGTATGCGCTCATGGTTCTGTCACACTTTTAACATCACGTGAACAACAATACTGATGATAAGCGAGACGACTTTTTCATATGACTTGTTATGCTAATATAATAATACTGCAACCACTTAACAAAGTAACCGAGCTTATTGAACAACGGTCAGAGGATTCATTTACCAGACGGGAAGATATCAATATTAATATACTTAGTTTACAGCGTTTACGACAACGTAGTACAAAGTGGAAAGCATTAAGCAAAAGGTCTAGATAATTTTGCGCGCCCGATGCCAGAGTTATTATTCAAAATATTTCGTGCCTTTTGGCATCTGTCCTCCTTCGAGAATACAATCTTTATGAGGCCAAACTAGAACTACTTCTTTGCTATCAGTAAGATATTGTCCGTCAGCAATTAAACCTATTTGTTTTTATATATTAGAGATGAAATTTTGAAATTTTATTTTGTCGCGAAGGGTCGACATATGTCAGGTTGGAATTTATGTCAATTTGGAATAACATGTAAGAATATTTACTAAGCAATCTCAATTATGTATGTATACTAGTGTTGTTATTAAAAACAGATGTGTTGTATGTCAGATAGGAATTTATGTCGGATCGGAATCTATGTCCATTCCGAACTGACATATGTCAGATCGGAATAAGAAAGACCATCAGGTAACGACCTTATAAAAGTA